CAGGAAATATATGCATCATATTGAGGGCGTAATGCACGAGAAACAACTATAAGTCACTTTGCACTAGCAGATCAAATAAACAGATAGTTGGTCGCATTAAAGTAAGACATATTTTTTTTTTTTTGGCAGTACTTAGAATGTATAAATCGGATGCCAATAATCCAATGATTGGGCGTCCAATTTGATGTTATCCTGTTTTGCTGTAATGTATCCGAAAGTGGCCGTTTTCGCCTGTCTTTCATTCCTGTGGACCCTTAGGAGGTGCTTTTAACTTAACGCATGAATTTGCTGATTTGGTACATATTAAGGAAGATTATTTTAGAATCTTTGGATAATGTGATTTGTTATATGATTTTTAACATTTTATAATCACCAATCTTTATGTAGACTAAATAGTCTACGTACCTCATCATTTTTTTTATATTGTTAACATACCATTTTAAGTAAACTTACTCATTGTAATAATTATTTTCACAAGAATACAATAATGATAAGTTAGTTACTTTTTAATAAATTACCAATCAGAAAGTTCGATTTTGGATTTTTTACTAATTATTGTAAATTTGTAAATAGAAGTTCAATATTGAGGTGCTATTTTCAATCCACCCTTGAATTTTTGACAATTTCCTCCTTCGAATAGTAATTTTGTCTTATTTGTAAATGTAAATTTGTAATATCGCTTTGGCCTCACACGTGGGTAAGGCTAGAGCGACTGGATCTGAATCCGAGGTCCCGGGTTCGATCCCGCTTTAAGGAGACTAGTGTCAAGCAGTAGTGACAACGGTTTTCAATTGAGAATATAGGTAGCAATATGTTTTCAAGTGAAAATAGACTTCATCCGGCATTGTTGCATCAATCAAACATTCGTCCTATTACAGAAATTATAATAAGAAAATGTAAGAAATGGGACAACTATTTGGGTTGCCATCTATAAAACCGAGGTCGTATTAAGTCGAAATAGCCCAACAGCTTATGGACTCTTAAGTTCTGATTGCTGTTCAAAAAACTATAAAAATAAAAAAAGTCTTTTAAAGTAATTGAGCAGTATTTTATTCATATTATCATTTTTAAGCCAAAGTGAAATTAATCTATGTGTATCGTAAAAAAAAATTTTGGTACTACGCCAAGTTTTGCGTGAAGTTTTCGTAGTAACATTGATTTATCACAAACTTACCCGGGGTCGATAAAAATTTAAATTTACTTTAGATTATTAATTTAAGTGATATAATCCATAAACTCAACGAGTCCTATTAGCAATTGTAATGATTTGTTGTTTAAAAAAAAATATTTGCACTTCTTTCATTCTGAACAACAGAGGGTACGAGATGATTTCCTAATAACGTTGCTTTATAGATGGCAATTCAACCTGTTGGCCTATCTCTTTTTGATGAATTTAATACTGGATTAATTCTAATACTGATACCTTTTTATTGGATGCAGATCAGGGCTATTTATATTAGAAATATATTGCTATCTATATTTTCAAGTCAAAACTGATGTCAATACTGCTTGACATCATGCTTTACGAATCAAGTATGGAACCTGGAACTTCTCAATGGAAGTCCATGTCACTAATTTTTGGACAAAAGTGAGATAAAAATATTTTTTTAAGTAATATTTTTCTGGATTTCTATTAGAACGATTTTTTTATATAATTTTATTTGAACAGCTATCAGAACTTATGGGTTCTATGAGCTGTTGTGATTAATATCTTACAAACTACGTTTGTTTTATTACAGATGGCAACCCAAACAGTTGTCACATATCTGTATGATAAATTTTTATTACAATCTCTGTAATAGGGCAAGTATGGTGCAACTATACCGGGTGAGGGCTATTTTTACTTGGAAACATATTGCTATTTATATTTCCAATTGTAAATCGTTGTCACTGTTGCCTGATAACAGGCTGCTCGAAGTGGGTATCGAACCCGGGACTTCTGACACAAGTCCCGTCGCTCTTAACCGCTTACCTACGAGCGAGCCCATTAGAACGAATTTGGCGTGATTTTTTCTACCACTTTTTCTAATTTATGTATTGAACTCTTATGTTTTAATATCATAAGTATTAGCCATTCAAGTTACTTTTGCTCCAACCATGTGATGAGATATCTAATGTTTTTACGACATGTGACTTGCCTGATTTAAAATACTTTATTGATAGGATAATTAGAATACCAACATTGATAGGTTTAATTTGAATCTTCTGCTATGGATTTTCTGACGGCAACAAGTACGAGCAGACAGAAATGCCTGCGGACAATTTACAATTTCATTGCGTTTCATTTTACATGTAGGTTTGTGTTGTGAAATTTTCTGCATATATATCGCCGTGTATGGTATATTCTAGTCCTGTTTGCAATATCGTTTCAAGTCGTTGCTTTATGTCGAGTTCTTAACTGAACTAATAATAATCATAAGACTTTCACTTACAATGACGCTGCTAAGGCGATCGACCTAGTGTGCCACTCGAACCTAGTTGCCTTGTTTCGCATGAATGGTGGTGGGCATTTATTGAATATTTTGCGACCGGTTGGTAAACTAAACGAATTTAATAATTTTTTTTGATTATTTGACAAATGATGCTTAGCAATCTGGGAGATACCTAATTCAAGTTCATTTGGTTGATCCAATTCTTTTAATATTGCAACTCGATCTCATGTTAAATGAGATTCTAACTATTATGATTGAAAGAAATCAGGATGTCGATGACCATCAAACTAGATAGATAGAAATGTTTTACGTTGAACACTTCGTTAAAATATTTACTGTGATCTCTTATACCAGACAATTTATCTGACTGATATACAGTACTTATGACATATATACATTAATAAATCAAGAAAAAACTATTTTACAAACTAATGATAAATTTTAATCTCTCCCCATGTCACGCTTTGTCATTCGATACTTAATATGGTCTGAAGTTAATCAATTTATCAGTTTTTGGAGGTCGACATTAATGTCTTTGGCAGGTCAAAATTTTGCATAAATTTTGCTAAACAGCTCCTTCATTCAATGTCGTCATTTTACTTTTTACTTGAAAAGTACGTTTGCGTTTTCTTCAGTAAATCATTTTAGCAAAAATCTTCATTTCCATATTTTAATTGGCACAAATGAAAACTTGCTATCAAACGTAAGTATTGTTATATCAACTCTTGAAACATAATTATTGTGTAGCTTAACGAGGTTAGATGCAATTATCATTCTGTCAAGAAAATATTACTTTTCAAACAAAGAGATTATAAAATTTTTATTTCAGCTTTTGCTGATTATAAACTTTAAAAACTATAACTCACCTATAAGTATAGGTGCTGACCCAACCAAATATAAATTATAATCTTTAAATTTATAATATTATGTTATTATCG